ACAAACATGAAGACATGCAGGCAATAGGCAAGCAATGCTACAACAGGTTTTCCTAATAACTAAACAGCACCTGCTTTTTAGAAGAACCTAGGAGATGTAGGAAGCCAGGCCCTTGTCAGAGACTCACCTGATGTACTCAGGCTTAACATTGCCAAAGAGAAGCAGGATGCATTAAGTAAGACTTCTTTGCTCCTTCCCTTCGAAAAACCGATTTTAAAAAAGGCCAGACACTTACAAGGAGGGTATGACTAAGTATAAAGTCACTAGCGCTGTTGTAAAAGGCCCATGTTTGTTGTAGCCATTTCATCTTCTCCTCTTGGAAGCAGGCTATGCCTTCCGCTCCAAGGGTGAATTTGTTTTATAAAGAAACTTACAGCTGGGTTATTGATGGGCTTTCCAGGGATTAACTACATACTCATAAGAATAAGAGGCCAACCTCATCCTCTTAAACTTCACACACCACAATCCTATAGATAGCTGACAGCTAGAGCCAGAGGAGAAAAATAATCCAACATTTTGTTAATCCTTAAACCAATCATCTCATGCAACAATGGGGAGCCCTTCTGGTCTACAACTCAATCTCTCCAGGACAGAAAGGCTCCCTCACAGACACAACAGGAATTTGTATCCATAGCCATCCCCGACACAAACATAGCTATTATCAGGTGTTATAAATGATCCTAGGACTCTATTTATTTCACACTAAATTCTTTTAAAGTGTGGAGAATTACAAATTTGCCTAAGAAACAGGAAAGCACACATCTGACCAATCTAACCAGGGCACCTACGACTGAGAGAAGTAGTGACTGATTCCTTGAGTCCATCCATGAGTCTACATTTCCATCCCTCCAGCAGCACGCAGCAGCTATCAGGAACCTGGTCTTTTACTGTGCAGCACAGTCTGCGCTGGTCATCTGGCCAACCCTTCCAAGGCCTCTCTCCTTCCACTTCGATAGCAATGATCCCTGCATCCTCTCGGCCTGCTCGCCCTTCCCTTTTGCTTCTGGACTCTCCATTTGTTCCTGAAATTTAACTTTCCCCCTCAATTTGGAGCTCTAACTGTGGTCATCAAAAAGTTAATGGCAGTGGTTTTTACTGCTGTGTCTTTATTAAAAGTAATTCATGCATGCCAATTTTATGGCAGGAGCTAGAGTATCTGTCTAGGTCTAATCTCCAACACGACATACATGTTCCCACTAGAAAAAGACAAGGTGGTAACACACTGATTGGCAATCACCCTTGACTGAGGCTTGGTGACCTGGGCCCACAGAACTGGTACCAGCACGTGGACAGCACTGCAGTTCAAGTCACCGGGACCACAGGCAGGGTGAAGGCAGCCAGCTTGGGGCTTACTCCACAAAATGCAGGAAAGGATATGAACAGGGACACTGACGGAGGCTAACTGACTGGACAATGTCATCAAGTCAAAATGTAGCAGCCAAGTGTCCTGAGCAAGTCTCTCCAATCCTGGGCCCACACTGTGCCCAACCAAGGTAACACTGTACCTACGTTCTTAAAAGGTGAACACCGACAGTACTAAGCTGGGTGGCAAGCACTTGGTTAAAAAGAGAGAAACAACTTACCCAACTGTTTTCTTTTAAAAAGAGTATCATTCCCACCTTTATTCAGGAGGTGGGGGAATCAGGCTGAGAAGGATAAGGGAATTCTAAGGTAAAGGAAACAGCCTAAACCCTGAGGTGCATCTAGCATAGCAATCAAGCCAGTCATGCAGTCATACATTTAAAATCTCAGGGACTCCACTAGCTATAGATGAGATGCCAATTCAAACAAAAGTTCTCTGTGTACAGGTATTCATCTATATAACCCGTAAGGACATACCATGTCTATGTATGTGATATTTAATGTGTGGTGTAAACCTCATTAAAAGGTATAGTCCGATCTCAACTAAGTAACATTTTGTATCAGAGATGGAGGAAGACAGTTCTAAAGATCCTTCAGTCAACTTTCCTTGTCTACAGATGCCCATCAAGCTTCCACACAGTGTTACCTCATTAATGATCTGGGTTTTTTAACAGAACTCCAACTTGTAAAAAAAGGTGAGGAAAGAGGTTTAAATTTTGAAGGCTATCATTATGCAAAGGGGAAAAAAAAAAAAAAACCAACTCAGGACCTCAAATGAACAAGTTCCTTTCCCACTTTGAACCTGTGTTTCCTCAAGCATAAGTGAGCTGTGTGTCCAACCAAACAAACCCTGTGTCTATAAAGATCGCTGCATCATTAAATACTTTATCATTACAAGAAAGTAACATTTAATAGCAAAAGAGCTTATACAACGCAAATTCAAAAAGGAAGGTTGCAATTATTCTCTCAACAAAGAGGGAGAAAACCGACCTCTCCTCCTCCTAAAAGAATATATACTGACACGAGTTCAGTTTACCTAGAAGCCTGCTGTCCTTGAGAAGACTGAACTTTCTCCAGGTTTGCTAAAGAGAAATATCTTTAGCTCTGTCAAACAAGCAGTAAGCTCCCTGATTGTACCTTAAAGGGAATGAGAATGTTTCGGCTCATTTGCATTTTAAAGGGTACTCTTTCATGATCTTTCACACTTGTAATAGACGTCTAAACCGTTAAATTACTATTTCTTTTCTTAGCCTGAAAGTCGATGCAGACGAAGAGCAAGGCCTCTCCCATTGTTCTTTACCCTAAGTCGGTCCCTGAACAATACTGACAGCTGCTATCAAACCGGGCTGCATTTACTCTGTGCGCAGCTGCTGCTTGTAGGAACAGACAGCCTCCCGGTGCCTCCTCCCCTCTGGGGAGACAGGTTGACACACTGCATGTTCAATGAAGGGGTGCAAAGGTCCACTGAATTGTCAACCCAATTTTATGCTACTTCGATTTTGCAGGATGCACACAATTCCTTCTGAGCAAAAAAACAAGCATATGCTAGAGCAGGAGACTTAGGGGTATGGGATAATTATCGATCACAGCAAACTTTAGAAGAGTCTTCTGACAATAAATTAAAACAACGATCCCAAAATTACAATTATAAAAACTGCACATGCTAATCTGGTGAAGACACACAACTGGCGTTAAGGCTTACTCTGTGCCCAACTTCACTGACTTGGGCTATTGTTGCCAGCTATCAGGGCTAATCTGCCTTTATAATCTCAACATGTTTCCTGGATCAGAGCCATTCATAAAATTAACCATTCATCTGCCCTTCTAAAATGATCTGCGAGCTTCATTTTCTGATTCAACTCAAAATCAGTACTACCTGTGAACCTCTAATTTACACAAATTTCTCCTTTTGAAAATATAGAACTTGGCAGTTGTCTTTGAGAACTTTAGAGTATAAGTTTTACCATTAAGAAATGATATGTAAAAATTTAGAGCCTACCAGAAAACAAACATGTTCCACAAAGTTTAACTGGGTACTTGAGAAGTGTTTTGCATATGTTTTCCTTTAATCAAAACAGGCTTTTCCATCCTCATTCATTTGGGCTAAAAAATTCTGTGCTCCAGTTACAAGTACAATTTGCTATTAGTCTTTGCTAATCAAACATGGTACATGCAAAAGTACCAGTGAATATTTGATTTGATCTCTGAAATAAAGCAATTCATTACCCAAGAAAAGGGTACAGAAGGCAGCAGACAAATGCAGATGTAATTGTGTTTTTTGTTGAATGTGATTAGAGAGCCCACTAAGTAACAGTCAAAAATGTGATCAAGAGGGGGGAGCTGGTCTGGGGGGGAAAAGGAGGAGGGGAGAACTGTTTATGCAGAGCTAAGCTGTCAAGTGTAATAAAGCAGCTTGAATAAAATTTAAGCTGAAAATCCACTGAAGCTCCCCATTTCAGAGAGGAAAAAGCTATTAAAAGGAAATGAAGGTCACCCTCCCAGTTTATTTCACCTAATTGACTGCCAATAGCTTACCACAGGCAACCCGACTGCAGATCTGCAATTGAGAAACTGATGAAAGGAGAGTTTTCAAGCTGAGGCTCATTCTTTAATCCTCCTTGGCTCTTATGTTTTTTCTCCATCTCCAGTTGGGATGTAATTTTAAACCCTGATGGATTAACTGGTTCCATTGTCTGTGGCCGTCATTGGACTATGGCACCCTTAATCCGTACAGCAGCATGTCTAATTATCATTACAAAGTGTCTGAGGGAACTATAAAGACCAGCAGGGCATCTTCTCACAAGCAATTAACATAAATTGATAAATGAGTGATTTGAATCTGCTCAAGGCACTCACATATGAATAAAATCAGAAAGGACAGTCCCTTGTTTCAGCTACTTCTTCGCTTACTCCGAGGGCCAGGACACGTGAGAAATGTCCCGGATCCTGCAGTGGGGGAAAGGAACTCATGCAGGGGTTGGACCGCACAGTTCACCAGGCTCATTAATGCAGAGCAAATGACTTGTGATTGACAATCACTTGCCAGCAAGGAACACTAACTGAACTCAACACAGGAGAGCAGAAAATCTGGTGAAAGGCCAGAGTGCACCAGGGCAGACAATTATCACTTCTTCCACATTTTTTCTACTGGGGTGCCACTTAAAGATTCATGAAAGGAACAGAAAAGAGAAATAGCAAAGAGTTATACAGGTTCTAATACCCTAAGAAAGCAAAAGGCACAGGCAAATATAACTGAATGAAATAATTCTGAGACCTGTTGTTGTTAACTCTTTGTAATCTAAAGTTATAAGACGGAAGGAAGGAATACTGGAATACAGAATATAGCTTAGAGCTTTGGCTTGACTAATGGAGCAAGGGTGGTTTTAAGTGTTCCAAGATATCTTTTTTCCCGTTAAAAAGTAAATTTTATTTTCCTTAAAAGTTTCCCCAATCATTTATGCTCATCTCTTTCTCTTACATACTTCAGTGTGTCTGGAGAGCCCGTCCCCCCTTAGCAAAGAGGTCAACTACTAGCTACCCTACATTGTGGATATAATATATAGATCAAGCCATAAAATGAATAAGAAATGAAAGCTGGTTATACACACTGTAGGAGGTAGACCTGGAAGGCCACGTACCCCGATGATAGCATTCAACTCCGCCATGGTCACCTGCTTGGCACGTTCCACGGCCTGGGCCACCTGTTGTTGATGCTTTGAAAACAAAGAGAAGTGTTAGTGAGGTGACTTGGAATGTCATCGCAACTCCCAACACAAACTACAGAAGCGAAGCATCACATGCCATGCAGACTTACGTGTGAGGATTTAAGTACAAAGTTTCTCTACTACACATTAATTCACAGAGCGCATAGAGAATAGGAAAAGGAAACCAGAAAATGGTACTTCCCTTGATTTCTAATCAATACCAGTCACCACTTAACTGCTGATGGGGATATTTGCCTCAGAATGACAGAAAATCAGAAAGGACATCAAGAATGATAACCTGTGCCTTCAGAAAATAATAATAGCACAGGATTTAGACTTTGGAACCATGTTCCGAAGGAGTCTGCTAATGCTGAGCTTCAGCAGGTAGAGTTCACAGCCTTTGAAAACTTAAAACATTCTGATATTAACAATTTAAATGATAAATCTACAAACATTTCTCTGGTCAACAAGCCCAAACCCATTAGTAATTTTTGGAAACTATGGGATTTCCCCTCCTTTACTTAGCCTGTAGGATTTTTCAGCCTCCACAGAAGAAAGGAAGCGGCCACCTCCCACCCTCTACCCGGTTCACTCCTTAATTCAAACGCTGGAAATTGATCTGCACACCTCCCAGCTCAAGCCACAAATAAAACAAAACTACATGTTTGCTTTGGGCAGTATGGGGCTACAGCAGAAATCAGGATTACCAAAGTCTTAACAAACAACTAGATTCAAAAAGCAAAAAAGATCTAAATTTCAACACCAAGCAACTGTTATGCTGGAAGAGGCTACTGTAAGAAGAACCGAGATGATAGAACCAGCATGGTGCAGGAGATGCCAGCTACTACAGACACCAGTATTCCAGCAATCAGCCCAATAAGCAGCTCTCCCCACCTCAAACTATACGCATACTGCACACATGGAAAGCACAGTTTAGCACTTATGAGCTAGTACCCAAAAGTAAAGTCAACCTTAGGACTAAGTACAGTGTACAACGTACATTAGCACAAAACTAAGTACAAAGGTTATGAGCCAGTTCCACAGATAACTCACATAAAGAGCTCTCCTCTCAAGATATCGAGGTTAGACCACTATAACTTTGTAACTTAATAAAATGGTGTGTCTGTATATGACTCAGTGATACAGTGTAGTACCAACAGGTATTTACTATTAAGAGTGATAGGATCCATTCTTTTCATGGATTAAGTCGACCTGACTTGATGTACTACAAGCACCAATGAAATCTCTGCTCCATGGTCAAATTAACCCTCATGGAACCAGTTTTTGAATGTTTGGAATGAAAGGCTCTTTACAGAAAGGACGCTTGAATCATCAACAGCTACCAAATTTACACTACTCCTCACCAAAAGCCAAAGCTTTATGGTTGATAGTCACTTTGCAGTTTTCCACAGAAAAACTAATTTGAGGTTGAACTATTGTCACCACTTCTACCGTGCGCCCTCAGATCTGTGAGATGGAATAGCAGGGGGTTTACACACTTCAGCTGTAACAGATGTTCTTCACACTTGTTCCTTGTGATAAAATTAACATCTTAAAACTAGCTAATTTGCAAACAGAGAAGCAACATAATTGCACTTTAACAGCTGAACAGTTTTACTTACTTCCTGAGACAGAAATGGGATGACTTGTGCACAAATCGTATTCAATCTCTTGGCGATTTCAGTCTATAAAGACAAAGCCATATAAATGTTTAGTATACTTCATAATCAGTTCAGTAAGATAAAACTTCATATCCAACACTTTAGCCCTCCACTACCTTACTCATGAGGGCATTAAATTGCCTTCCCAGGCGGCTATGTTACTAATATTTATCTTGAGATAAACAGTAGATATTAATCCCACTTGCAATGTAAGACATAATTGCACGCTTTATTGGTTACTTAAATAAGAGATAATGGGTAGTTTAATTGAGTTGGAAGATCTACGTGATTTTGGGTTATATGATTTTTAACTTGGTGATTGCAAACCCCTTCATATACTTACTTGATTATGGTACAGTGGCACATTGACGTAGTGACAGCAAGTTCACTTAAACTGGTGTCAGGGACCAGTGGGACAGAAGTACTATCGAGGCAGTCTAGTTTTCTAGAACAGGTCAAGAATGAGCAGAAAGGGGCCCACCGATCTTCCTCTCATTTGCTCCAATTTTTGCAGAATTGAAACAACTGTGAATTTCACAGTTAGTAGCCTTCACAAGTCTCATTTTTTCAAGGGAACATGACTAAAAAAGAATTCAAGCCCAGTGTGACAGTCAAGTCACAAGTTCTGGGTAACAGTAAATTTCAAGATTCGGGATCAAATGCAAAGATCTAACAAAACATGTCCCAAATCATCACAGGCTGTTCTCAAGAAAGTTGGAAAAGTCTCTGCTCAGCAACAAATCCACAGCAGAACTGCTGGCTCAAGGGACAAACTGGCAAGGAATAATAAAGCACTGCCATGCTTCCTAACGGGGG